TATATATATATATATAAATTAAATAAATAAAATAACGACGTAGTGATCTCACATACCCGAATCGTCTTCGCTACCACTCGCTAGGTATGTCTGTAGATCATTTTCGTCGATCTCCTGTAATTTTCCAGAATTCAGCTTTTGTGTAAATTCTTGCCTGTCTACATTTGTTTCATCCCATGTTAATTGAACTTTAATTTGTTGTAAAGCGGTTGTCGTAAATTGTCTTGGTTCGTATTTTGCAAGTTCTGGTATCTCGGTACATATCTCTTTAGGTTCCTTCAACAAATATTCCATATTTGAAAATTATATACTTTTTAACTTCTTGAGATGTATGATACATTTTGCATATTCTGATTTCCATAAATACCTGGTCAAATGTCATATCATTTGGTACAAATCTGAGATCTAATCTAGTTGCAGTCGATTCATATTCAATTCCATCGCACTCTATATATACTTTATTTGCCGTTTCAGCAGAATCAAACTCAGCAACAGCATAATAGTATTTCAATCGATTTAATTGATACTGTCTCAATTTCTCCATATGATATGTTGCACCTTCTTCATTCTAAGAAGAGATCGCATAACAATTAATGAAAAAAACTACATTACCTAACTGTAGAAAATATTTAAAAAATCATCATATTTCATACATCATCCCCAATTTCTCCTTCGCTGTTAACATCTTCACTTCTTAGTTCTATTGGCCCACTGATCTCTTCCTCCTTCATTCGCTTCTGACCAAATTCTGATGGATAAATCTAAAAAATTAATAAATTGTTATAAATTTACACTATAATTATATTATTAAAAAAATTATTTTGGGTATATTTTTAAATCACAATATATATGATAAAAAGAAATGCACACATATACATATATGTTTTATATGTTATTATTAATTATCATTATTTTATACTTATCAATTTTATTATTATTATATATTATAAATTTATTATTACTATAACTGAATGGATAAGTCCGCCAGTGGGTAAAAATGAATTTAACAAAATCATCAAGTCTACAGCGCGTATTCTATCCCAATCCATATTACAAATGGCTAATTTATGTGTAATCTCATCTGTTGTTTCAGCTTCCTTGTCTAATTCACCCCAATTATGTTCAATCTCTTCCTCAATATCTAAAGAAGATTAAGTATAGAATCAGATTAAATATGAGATATTGCTATACATGTGATATATATGCAATAAAATAAAATATTACCACTAGCTTCAGATAATTCTTCTTCCGAAGAGCTATCAGTCAACAAGACACCTTCACCTCTGGCATAATTCACACTCAGATCTTTCAATCTTTCTTTAATTTCACTTGTAAGTCTGCCACTTTCATTTCTTCTTCTTGTATGCAGCTGTTCTTCATTTTTATCAAAATCTAATTGGGAAAATTCTTTCTGAACAGATTCAGTCTCATTATTATCTGAAGATTCATCATCAGAACATTTCTCTTTTGGTTTAATTCGAAGTAAATCTCTATTACTCGCGGCACAATTATCGTCGTTCTGATCATCTTCACTTCCTTCGTCCGAGGGATCTTTTACCAAGCTTGATTCGACTTTCTTCATCGACTTCTTTTTGCCCTTTGCTTTCTTTATAGTGTCCTTCTTTATTTCTTTCGTCTTGTCATCTTCCTTGTTTGTAGACGGTGTAGATGCATCTTCATCTTCGCTGCTAGATAGATCATAATATTTCCTAAGATTTTCAGTAGTGGTCTGATTGATCGGTCTACCACGCTTATCAATGGTATATTTCACAGTAAACTTTTTATCCTTAAACATGTCTTTAAATCGGTGGTCAATCTTCACTTTCCTTTCAGCCTTGGGAATGCGTCGAAATTTCGGATCTTTCGCGATATGCGCGAAACGCGCATCTTTCAACATTTCATCCATTTTACTCCTAATATTACTAATTACTTTCTTAAATTACAAATACAATATCCTTAATCCTAAAATTTTTGCATATAAAAATGCACAGATATACACAATTGTAAAAGTTCGCATCCACGAATGCTGCACGTGTCTTCGCGACAGATTAGGTTAGTTTAGCTCAGAAGAGATGGACTGGATTAGCTTGGTCATAGAAAAAAACAACTATGAGAAGTATTTTATACCAGAATTCAGTATATTGTAAAGCCCGTATCAGACTACGCACTGAAGATTGAGATTGAAGATTCAAGATTGAAATTTGACCAATCAGAATAAAGAAATTTTAGTCCTTTTTGTTCTGATTAGTCAAATTCCAATCTTTAATCTTCAATTTTCAATGCGTAGTCTGATACGGGCATAAGGCTCCCTTTTCACGCATGTGCGTTAAATGTGCTTTCAATAAAATAGTTATCTTACGAAATGAGGTCCTCTATGGCCTGCGTTTAATCATTTTTTTAAATTATTTAAAAATTTTTCAAAAATTAATTAGAACCATAAAATAAAAAATATGTACAAATTATTTTAATTTATTTATTTACGTAGCAATTTAACTTGTCTGCGAGATGCCACTAAACTGAGATGTTCATATACAATATACAATATATACATGATTGTAAACATCATCGTTACGTCATATATTCGCGAAAAAGGGAGCTCGTCTAATAATATTGTCAGTTTGATTTTCATACAATTTTTAAAATTTGAAGCAATAAGTATTAACTCAGTCTATTTTTTTCTATTTGTAGGGTCTTCACTATCTGCTTATATACATTTATATATGAAATAAAATTTCAGACTTTAATGAGAGAAAAAAAAAGAAAGAAATTTTGGGTAACAGTTGTATACAAGTACTGGTATATGATTTAATGTTTAAAAACATTTATTTGTAGTATCTATTAAAAAGATGAATACAAATAATTAATATTAAATATAATAAAAATTTAATGCCTCTTCTATATACAATTGATTTTTTCAGATGAATTTATATTACGCTTATCATATATAGTAATCCTAGAATTTGTCATTAAAAATATACATACAGCTTTATTAATATTTAAGGAAATATATAAAAATTTTTAATGGTTTTGATTAAATATATAAGTGTTATTTATTATAAATACCTTAGCACAGAATGTACAAAAGAAGTATCATTTCCTAAATCTAAATCATGCTTAATGTCTATTATTATTTATATATTTATGCATATATAAATATAATACAATAATTCTCTAAATAGCTTTTAACTCTTTATCTTTTTAAAAGACAATAGCAGTTGAACAGAAAAACCAATAGTATATAAATATTACTATTAACAATTATAATATATACATA